TTTCTTTTCCATTCCTGGCTTGCGACTGTGACGTCATGAGAATCCACATGGATGTCAGAAATACTAATTTTGTCATGCTGTTTCAGTCTACTTTCTACTTTTATAAGAAAATTTGTGATGGAAGTGGGTATTAATATACTCAGACGGTTGTTACTGTTCTATCCCATATGTGGGCTGCGTCAGTATGGTGACGTACTGTCACCCAGGCAGACACCATCCCTTAAATACACTTTGTGTCACCGAATAAATCTGCAAATGATTTTTAATTAGCAGAGATCATAACACAGACAGTTGTCGCAGTTACCGCGCATGTTTCACTCTATTCCTTTACACTACACTAAATGCAACAACAAAAAGACGTGTATCAGTGCCGGAATAGCGTTGTTGAGGAAATGCTTGGGTAAGAAGAGCTCTTAACATAGCAATAGAAGACAAAACAAGCAGCCAGTCGAATGATCTCTGTGTAGCCAGATAACTGCATCACCCAGGAGCAGAGCAGCGATCTCGCCCCAGCACCAGTGAGAGGGGAACTGAGCTCAGCTTCCAGCATCTCTTGCCTCTCCCGCTCTCACTCTCTCTCCCCCTCGTTCCTCGTTTACCCTCCACCCTCTTGTCCCTCTTCCTCTTCCCCCCTCTTCTTTCTTGTGCTCCTCTTGTTTTTCTATGCCCTATTATTTCTCGTAGGCTCTCCTTTCACTTCCATCTTCAGCCTCTCTCTCTCTCTCTTTCTTTTACACAATGTTTAACAACGTTAGGCTAAGGGTTCCAAACATTACTTACAAAGCTAAGAGCTGTTCCCAACATCAAGTCATTGTTATGAGATATACAGGTAGGAAATAGGATGCAGTTGGAACCATGTGTGGGTCATTGATTTCATTTGGTCATCTGACTTTATTTCGTTGACATAGTTATGCTGTATGAACATCTTCGAGATTTGAGTTATCCTAGGAATAAATGATCTCAGATGAAGTCATGTTCTTGAGAAAGGTACAGCCAGTGTGTAGATGCTGATTGCTGCCCATCTTATTGTGTGGAAGCTCATTTCTCTCTGCCCGTGGAGTGGAGCCAAGTGTGGTACCTTAACAATATTGGCTTTATACATAACAGTAAGGGCACCTACATCTCTCCGGTGCTGAAATGACGTATCTGTCTAGGTAAGGTCCAGGCGACAGATGAGTTATCTTGCTCTGCTCTCTACTCTGTCAGGAAGTCACCGTTGAAATGGATGCAGACAATCCAAGAAAGTGGAGGTTACACAAGGTGTGAGCACACTTGTGCCTCATTCAGGATCTTGCAACCTCAGCTGTCTACTTTGCAAGATTTAGAGCGTGGTTCTTCATAGTCAGTTTGGAGTCAAATTTCATTCAAAGGATATCAACTTCATCATCGGGTAACAACCAATTCATTCTTAATACTGCTCCAAAATTACCATCTTTGTGTCGAGAAACCGTCATCATTTGTGTTTTATCGGGTGCATACTTGACCTGCCATCGTTTTCCCCAGGATAATATTGCTGTAAGCTAGTGATTGATGTAACTTAAATCAGGTGGCATTTCATCTCTCTTGGAAAAGTTTATGTCAGTGTAAAGTCGTCTGCATATGCACTGAATTCTGGAATGACTTGTTGGTTATTGAAGTAGATATTCCATAACAACGGCTCAAGCACACTTCTCCATGGAACACTTGCACAAATATTTTTTTTTGTTTTCTCTGTCCCATTGAGAACTACTCTACCTTGAATGTAATTACTGAGGAGGCATAGTGCAGAGCCTGCGACTCCTAGTGCTTGTAGTTTTGCCCTGAGTCCCTGGTGTCATAACACTGGTCAACAACCAAAATGCTTCCGAGACAAGAGAAGCAATTTCCAACTATTTTTATGTTACTGATAGTGAATATCCTAGTTAAAATTGTTAGCTTTACTTTTCAATATACACCTACGTGTCACAACAGGTTCCAACAGGCTTCCGGCAGTGTGTTTCTTACCACACTCACAGTCTCACTGACCTTCATTATTGTTCCAGCAGTCACAGAAGGTGGTTGTGATGTGCAAGCTTATATTTTGGGGTGAAAGTTATGTGATTTTCTTAGCCAAACGCTTTTTTAACTTATAATAAATATTCACTGAGCAAGCTATTGATATGCATGTGAGGCATATTATATTAATTTCATTTTCCTGTTGAATGATGTTAATACTTCTGCTTAGCTGTCATGTAATGCATGAAATATGATGAACATCAATGTCAGCTCTGTGGTGACATAAAGGTTGTTGCTCTTGTGACGGGATTGCGGTGCGGACACACCAGGTACTGTTGCTTTCTATATATATGGGACAGCAGTGCAAGAGGTTCCCACTACATCAGGAAAGACTGGCCACTTCGTCAATCATTGGAGCCTGGAATGAAAAATGTTCAACATCCACCTCTCATTGAACCTAATAAAATATTTCTACCACCACTACACATAAAACTGGGGCTCATGAAAAACTATGTAAAAGCTATGGACAAATCCGGTCAGGAATTCAAGTATTTAACATCAAAATTCCCCTCACTGAGCGACGCTAAGATAAGAGAGGGAGTCTTCAATGGTCCTCAGATTCGAGAGCTTCTTAAAGATGGTGACTCTGAATCAGCCCTTCAAGAGGAGGAGAAAGCTGCTTGGGAAGCATTTAAGTTAGTGGCGAAGGGATTTCTCGGAAACAGAAGGGAAGGCAACTATGAAGAATTAGTGGAAAACCTCATTAAGGCTTACAAGAACATGGGATGTAACATGTCACTTAAAATTCACTTTTTTGGACTCACATTTAGACTTTTTTCCAGGGAACTGTCGGGCAGTTAATGACGAACATAGTAAAACGTTTCACCAATATATTTCAACCATGGAAAAAATGGTACCAGGGCAAATGGGGCACAACAATGCTTGAAGACTATAGGTGGACATTGGCAAGAGATGATTCTTCAGCCCACTACAAGCATCAAACAAAAATGCAGAGAATAGATACGGATTAGAGTTTAAAACATACTGACACATATTGTACGTTATAATAAAATAATCAAATATTACGTCTCGTATCTTTAAACCTATAGCTAATAAGCATTTTTTAAGGTGATATTTGGATTCAGAACAGAAAAATACATAAGAATTAACTAATCTCATTTAAGAAGCATACAACTTTCTAGACATTGTTGACCAGTGATCTTGGATTCATCCAGTGACTTGTACCACATACTGGAGAAGTTAAACAGAAGATCAGCCTCAGAATGACCGTTTTTGAAACCATACTGATGGTCATATAAAAAGAGATTGGTAGTCGAAAACCGCTGTCTTCTGCCCTGAGATTATTGTATCAAGAATCTTGCTAATAACTGACATTAGGCGACACTAGTGCATAGTTGCTGATTACCCTTCCCCTCTTCCTTTATTGAACAGAAACTACATTTGCGTCTTTCCAGAGAGAAGGTTATTTACTCTGTGCTAGGCAGTGCTGATAGATGCTCTCTCTCTCTCTCTCTCTCTCTCTCTCTCTCTCTCTCTCTCTCTCTCTCTCTCCCCTCTTATCATCGCATACAAGGCGGAGAGCATCCTGTGAGTGCATTATAACAGCAAGAAACACTCGCTGTTAATGATAACCTTCACAGTCATTGCAACAGTAAGCCTCCTCGCTGTTCATGATAACCTTCACAGTCATGATAACAGTAAGCCTCCTCGCTTCTTATACAAACCTTCTCACACTTTAGCTAAACTTTAACCTTCACATTGACACTATCGTCTTCTTATTTATGCCAGTAATGTCATCAATAAGAAGCCGATCACATACCAGAGCACATTTTTTTCCACATCGTCTGTTTCCCACGAAAATAGGCAAAACATCTCCTTCGTTTATATAACAATTCTCTTTCCAGAAGTTTTCCAATGACGTTTTCCAATACAATATTCCACAGATCTCTCTCATGATGTGATAGTTTATAGCATAGAGAACAGGTAAGCCAGATGAAGGTTTTAAACGATAAATATGTGCAGAGAGCAGGTGTTCATATGCCTCATATCCAACTCATAAGATACTGTCACATTTCTCTTAATAAACAAAATACAACTGGATGTCCTTAAGAATTTGAAAATATTATTTTACCAGTGTCAGTCAGTTCTGTTAAAAATTAATGCATTACCTTAGATTTCTCTAATTCGATCATTATAGTGGTGCTCAGTGTTAAGAAACTGCACAACTCTTCTTTTGCAACTTCAGCACATTAAAAAATATAATCTGCTAGAATTATCCTCATTAATTTATAAAATGCTAGTCTTGAAGGTTGGTGAAATAATCACTCTGGCGGTGTACAAGTTAGCTAGAGATCATTAGAACATATAACCTTCACAGTAAATGCGGCATTAATAACTTGTTTAAAAAAACGCAGATTTTGCAGTCACCAGTGTCTGGTGCCACAACGATTTCTTAAGTCATGTTGACGGCAGTGAAGGGACTTGAGCTAGAGTTCGTCACGGCCACGCTAGCTGGAGATTCGTCTGTAAAAGCTTGCATTTGTGGTCACAGTGGTGCCTGTGCTAACCTTCCTATGGTGTAGAAATATACCTAGTTGGATGAATCTTATTGTGGCTAGCTGGTCTAGTGGCTAACGCGACGGGCTGGAGTTTTGACTCTATGACCGCGGGTTCAATCCCGGCAGGGGGTATGGTTTATTTGCAATCGTGTCATTACGATTTCTTAAGTCATGATACAGTATAGTATCGGTGACTCTTCGCTGAGTGAGTGAACGTTCGGCTCACAATCTTAGCAACAAGTTCGGTTTCAAGGCGAAGTTATACATAAGAACAAATCCCTCACGCAGGCTGCTCTTCTTCACCTAGAAGATAATAGAGTCGTACAAGTTAGTCGCTTCTTATGGTCGCATGAGAAAGAAAAATACCAGAATACCGGAACCACAATAAGTCATACTGCTTGGTTATCTGGGCTATCCCGAGTCATTTCCACCTGCAGATAATAATTCAAAATAAATTATCTTCGTAAGATATATAGTAGAAACAAACATTAAGAAAGCTCTGCAGTTTAAAAGACATTTTTATCTTGATACTACATCAGCCACACTGACCCATTCCAGGTAGGTCTAACTCTCACCCACACATACCAATACAGTGAATACAGTACATACAATAGTGCAGATAGGTATATACAGTGCACACAACAATGCAGCTAGGCGAATACAGTGCATACAACAGTGCAGCTAGGTGAATACAGTACACATCACAGTGCAGTTAAGTGAATACAGTACACACCACAGTGCAGCTTGATGAATACAGTACACATTATAGTGCAGCTAGGTGGGTGCAGTACACATCACACCAAGGTGCAGTTAGGTGAATATACTGCACATCACAGTGTAGCTTCGTCAAACTGATTTTCAGGACAGAAATAGTGCAGAATAGGATCCTGCAAAAGAAACCACTGCTGAAGGAATCACCAACATACAAAAGGGCGTTGCTAGACCACGACAGAACAAGAA